AACTGTGGCCATGAAAGGGAGCCTGAAGATGCTGACATTTGGCTGAGGCTGTTTTTGTGTGTCTGTGGACGGGGCTGGAGACAAATACAGTAGATATGCAGGGTGGGGGAGGTGAAGATTTGACTGTGAAACTACTTCTGGAGTCTGAAGCATGTTTGGTAGGATGATTGGAAATGGCAAAGAAGAGAAGAGGGGTCTGTGGTTGAGGCGTGTGCCAATAATGGCAGATCTATATTTGAAACAGATCATAAAAAGCCAAGCAATACTCTTAAGTGAAGCAGTGGAGAGAAAATAAGGAGGATGTGGAGGAGGGAGGTAGAAGGACCGACAGGGGAATAGACATTATTGGCGGTTAAGAGGGGGAAAAGACATCTGTGGAGGGAGTGGGTAACCACATGAAGCCATGGGATCCAGATGGGACAGAAACAGGTATGCAAATTTGTTGATCTCAGTGATATGAACAGATCCAAGAAGAATAAGAAGAATCAAAGGGCAGCCGCGCAGTAGGATTAAGGGGGAAGTTGAAAATCCATGTGAAGATGAAGCTGACAAGTGATTATAACCCTTCGTAGAAAAAACACAGCAGAGAATGGCAGTAATTACGGGTCAGGGCCAGAGCTCTGAGACTCTGACAAACATCCAGCACAGCACACACACACACAAACTACAGCACACACGCAGATAGCATGTGGGGAGCATGAAATGATCAGACCATCATTTAACTAACATACATCATCCGTTGCAGTGCATGGCAGGCCTGCCAGCAGGAGAAAACCAGCACAGCAGTGCCGTGACCTTTGCAGAGGGAACAAGGGGTGGAAGAGAAATGGAAAGATGAATGACCTCCAGCTGATGCTTTAGATGACAATAGTGGAACTGACTGTCCTGGATACATTTATACTGCCAGCTCTGTAACTGTACATCCACATCCATTAAAACTGAAATCACAGCTTCAAAGTGTATGGTCAGGTTTGTTAATCTATGATACATACACACAGAAATACACAAAAGGAGTTAAAGGCAACTACTGGTACGGTTGTGTTTTGTTAAAATGCAATGCCTCATCTTATTAAGAGCGCAGAGAAGCAGACATGCAACCATAAAGTTCATAACCTGCCTGGGAAGTGTGTCGATAATACTCTGCACTGCCTGAACTGCCAAGATGCCTAAAGGGAAGCGTTTACAGGGGACCTATTATGATTTTATATAAAGTTACCATGTCAGATATTCAAATTAAACTTGGCCATAGTTTTATATAATGAGGTAAACATATGTAAATATAAAGTCCAATGAGCAATAACCGCAGGCTTCAAACTGGTCGGAATACTGTTTCCAACCAGACAATCTGACATCAGCTTGTGACAGATTTCGTCTTGTGGTCATTAGCTCCAGGCACATGACTACAAGTGTTTACATTACATATAGCACTACATTACATGCTAACATCAGGGAATGTAATCTAAGTTGCTGATGTTGTTAATTTCTCCCCGATTTCAAATCATATTCTGATGGAGATGCCAAGAGTACACATGTGGAAGACCTGAAGACACTGACCAATCACTGGACTTTTTTGGGAGGGGACAGGCGCTAAAACAGAGCGTCTAAGACAGGGGTGGTCCAGCACAGACAGCATGAAGAAAATAAAGTGTTTTTTGAACATTAAAGCATCTAACCATGTTCTAGTAGGAGCCCAAAGTGCAAGTATGAACCTGAAAATGAGCATAACAGGTCTTACGTTAGCTGCATCTGCTCCGGCGATGCTGCTCGCTTGAAACTCTAAGACAATATAGAAGATGTTGTCATTTTACATGTTCCATACCCTCTGGTTTTCAACTCAAGTCCCTATGGACCGAGCTACTGCTGCAGTTTCTCTGCATGTAAGAGTCAACTCACGTGTAGAAAATAGTTCAGTTTTTGTGGTCAGCAAAATCAGCCCACATTCATATTAACTGTCAATCTCACCGTGTAGTTAATTCCCTGTGCTATTGTGCCTGTTTACTTTATGAAAATAGATATGCAGTGGATCCTGGTGTGATTAAATCATCCTCAAATGATCAAATCACTCCAGCCTGGGAAGTCTCTGTATTGCCCCCTTAGCTTCAGTCACGCAAACCACCTCAAATGGGTTTTTATATTATAGTGAATTATCTCCTCCCGGGAAGCAGAAGGTTGAGATAAAGAGAGGGTCTGTTAGCAACTTATTGGCTCAACATCAGAGATAGAGCTATTGGCGATGTGATGTGGTGCGGTGCAGATGATCGTGCTGCTGAATCAGCCAGTTTGGAAACCAGAAACCAAAGACCCTCGATCCCCTGCCTCCATGCTCAACCAGAGTTCCCTTTAATCCTTAGCGACCCCGTGCATGCCAGACACACACAAGCCACCACCAAGACTGTCTCCCCCAGCCGGGCTCCTAACCCCTGGGAAAACCGTCTCCTCGCCTGCAAACTATCGTCACTCTTCACCACACCTCCATCTCTAATTTAACCAGAAACCTCATGTGTGGTGCCAAGCGAGCCCTGCCTCAGATGATCCCTCGTGTAACCTCCAGCACTGAGAGCTTAATTCAAACTCAGTGTTAACATTACCTTACAATCAAGCTACAGTCACGGTTCTAAAGACTTGAGCATGGAAATCAAATAACTGCACATTATGATCAGACGTCATTTGGGTTTCCGTGAATGAAGCCAATTCAAACTGGCGTGCCAATTATGAATTTGAAAAAAGGAAACACACTTTCGCTGGCACGTCTCTACTCCAACAGGGTTCAAAAGCAACAAGATTTTGTTTTCACGCTGAACTAGCTCAGGCCTCGTGTTAAACAAGCATATCCAAGTTGTGTTTGTGCTGCCTTTTTAAAACCTTTTTCACAGCAAGTGTCTGTCCTTTGATTCTCATGGGGGGTTTCCCATCCTGTGTAAATCACATCTCCCAGGTCAGTTTAGATCAAATCAATGTGCAGACAAAAAATCCCAACGACAAACCCAATTTAAAACTGAGTTTACACCCATGATGCATCATGTGTACGTCTAATCTGATGATATACGGCATATCCAATGCAGATTCATGTGAGGATACTGTATTACATCGCCGCCATCTCATTCATCTTTTGTGGTTGTGGATATTATTTACATGCTTCTCTGTTTCCACACTAACCCAATGGTGCAGTAACCAAGCATGCAATCTGATGGGATCCCTGCCAGGGTTTCTGACGTCCATTCATCATCCATAAGACACACACCGTTTGCATGCTTACATGCTTTTACTTGAATCTCACGTCTCTCCCAGAGATGGAGCACGTCTGAGGAAAATAAGTTTTACACATGAGCATGTACGCACAATGACGAGCCTTCTCTGTAGAGGACAAAGACACGAGGTGGGAACTTTGGAAAATTCAGTACAGGAAAATCAAATACAATGACTTTGAGGTGTCAGACGAATGAGGAAACATATTGAGTTAAAATCTGAAGTGTTGGGAGCGTAAATTGGTGGAAAAAAGGGCTGTCTCTATTTCTCCCCGTTATAATTAATCATATTATTGCCTTTAATCAACGGCAATTGGGCACCATCGTGATTTTTTATATGTTAATTGCACTTGTATAAAGTTTCTTTACTTAACAGGGACACCAGACAGTCATTGATTGTCCCAGAGTTAGCTACTAGCTAAATTACATCAGCAGTCCATGGAAAATCCACAAAAGAATAGTGGCTTGACATGGTATAATTCAGACAGGGGAATGGAGAATAAACATTGCATCATACAAAACTAAAAGCATTTTCTATTTAAAAACATTACATCAAACAAAAAGAGAAATAGAATACTGCATGCTTAGTACTTTGTGGTGAGTGATCACATGATTGGTTAAGCTTTAGCCATGGTTTCAATTGTGATTTTAAGCCAGAGAGAGACAATGAGCATCAGACAATGCCAATACATATGTGAGCATCGATGACTTATCCTCAAAAATGGCAGTTTGTATTGGGAACATGACATTATGGGGAGACAGCTATAACTATCAGACCATTAAATTACACCGTGGCTGCACTGAGAATATAGGCTAATCAGGTTTGCTATGGTTAAACCTAGGGTCATCAGGAGATCCTTTGTAGCCTTTGAAAAAACAGGGAATCTAGAGCGGAGTACACTTTAGTGTGCACAGTGAAAAGGAGTGTATATTCAGAGGAGATTTACACTCACATTTATGAGTTTTTAACATTGTCATTTATTGTTAGACAACATAGAGGATAAAAAGATAAATCCCTCCCTTATTTCCATGCTGTACTTCAGGTACACCTATATGTCTATGGTGTTGGCTCAAGATACTGTAGGTGCACAATATGCCTGTAAACCTGGTTCAAGAGTGACACCTAGTGGACAAAAGGCAGTATCACTATAAAGTTGGATCAGTTGTTTCTTGTTATTCTCTTGAACACAGACTTGTTAAAATATGCGAGTACTATGACTCAGGCCCACACCCAAACTTTACAGATGACCTCAGAAAAAGAGCACAAATTGGTATCAAATGGTTTTTAGTACAGGTCTTCCTGAGCAAAGCAGAATTTACTTCACTGCTTGTAGGCACTTTGTTTTGTTGCTGCTGACACGTGAATCTGTGGCTAGGGACAACATGTAGTGATGAGTATTTAAGATTTAAGTTGATACTTAATTTTCAAGGTTTAATTTAATTTCCTGATGGTTTTCTTTTTCTCTATTTCTACATTCCAAACCCAATATTACACATGATAACACAGTCTGTGTATTTTTACTGGCTGGATGTCTGATTCCTGAGGATTTCCAACAAAGATAAAGAGCTTCAAAAACACCTGTTTCTTACGAGGAAAAGGTCTGTGCTTATATTTGAGAAATGAGCTTTTTAAGACACAGAACGTAATTATCCATTGGTTGTTATTTCAGCAACAGCAAGACTTAAAGTGAAGAGAGCATGTTCTCACATAGACAATAAAACCTAATAGTCATCTTTGAGACTCAGAGAAAACCATTTCTTTTTCTTTTTTTTTATTTTACACTGTACCTACACAAAGACATAAACACATATAAAAGAAAATGAGCACATAAGTAGGTACCACAGGTGAAAAACACACAAAATAACAAAAACTTTGGCATTAGATTTCCTCAATTATTTGCACTTGAAAATAACATTTTAAAAAAAGGGCAAAAACACTAACTACATCCCTGCATTTCCAGTCATACCTGGGTGGTCAACCTAAAACCATTCCTGAAATGACTTTGTGGCACAAGGTGGTTGATAAACCAGCATCATTTGTCATGTTATATTTAACTCCATCCTTCATCCTGGCTCAGAAAACCCACTGATAAATTGTTGTTTTAAATAAATATGCTTTTCCCATCATAATACAGTTTTTGGGGTCTTTTCCTGTCTTATAATCTCTTAAATAACCAAACATTATGACCAGAGGACAACCATAAAAATCTCCTATTCTCTGTAAAAACTCCTTCCACCTTCTGGGGGTTCCTTGACATTCCTTATACAATCACAATGTATACTTAAATATTTGTTTACTCATAATGCTTAATGTGGGATTTGGAAAAAAATGCATCTAAATTGTAGATTATTTTTGAAGATTTAAGAAACTTTACATAGTAAAATAGGTTTGTGTTGTATTGCACATTTGGTGTGTTGCATGAAATTTAGTCATGGAAACAAGTGACAGTAGAGCTCTTTGTAAAGCTAACATTACACTAAAAAAGAGGCAAAACATGGTACAGATCTGAATCAGTTTACCTAACTGAAAGTCTGAAAACAGATATTTTAAAATTGCAAGTCATACCACACTCCAAAACTGTATGAAAACATTAAATCAGTTTGACTTTACCCCCATCCTGTAACATTTTATTATGTTGTTGAGCAAGCATGTTGCATTTATGCTTTTTCTGCTTAGTTTCACAAGAAACACTGTGCTGCTACACTATATTGTAATACTACATGATACAGTTTTGACCTGTGATATTTCATGTAAGGGCAGTTTTTTTGTCTCTGTATGCCATAATTATACCTTCCTCTGAGTGTTTTATATTGTTATGTCTTTGTATATGAATTATTGAGGGCTATCCATTCTGAGTAGTTTCATGATGTAGGGCCCTGTGAGGTTGCCATTTATCCGCATTATTGTATTCTTCTGTCAGATTGTCCTTGATTTACTTATTTGTTATTGTATATTTCTTTTCTGCTTTAATATGTGTGGGTTTGCTATGGTTCATATTTACATTTTATCTGTTATTTTCAGTCATGTCCAGCAAGTTGTTTCTTCAAGTGGGCAGTATTAACATGACATGAGACCCATGTCACATGACCTCTTGATTGGTTCCAATTGAACAGATGTCCTCAATGTATTTTAAACCATAATTCAGACTGCCAATCAGTACCATGGACTTTCATTATCAGTAATCTGGACTGTTTTGTTCTTATGGAGGTAGAAATAATGTGTGAGGATTCTTACCATTCTTCATGGAAGACCTCTGAGATTGTTAAGTTAACAGCCCATCCCTGATTTATATCTTATTAATGCTACCAGTTTAACATGTAACTATCTCAACAAGGTTCTTGTAAAAAAAAAGAAAAAACAGATCCACTGTTTCTGAACCTGTTTGCCTACAATTCCCTGTTGTATCTTTATATCATTCAAGTTCAATAGTACAAACTACCACAGCAATAAGACATGAGAGATGAATCTGAAAACTGCATTATTAGCTTGAAACTTAAAAGAAGAGTCACTGAGGTACTCAGGAGAATAAAAGTGTCTTAGAATTAATGACTTCAAAGAAAAATATGTGCTGGTAAGGCTTTGGCAGTCCACGTGGCTCAGTTGAGAAGAAGAGGACTGTTGTCGTTTTGATCTTCAACATGATCCTCCTCAACTGGGACGACAAGGTCTGGCTTTCTGTCCTCTTCAGCAACATCCACTCCGATCACACCCACCACCCTGAAACAGGGAAAAAACAAGGTATAAGAGGAGCAGAATAACTATGGGATACATTACTGTCTCTAACAACTCCAAATAAACTGGGCAACTGTTTAACAAAGCTTCTCTCTGCAACCGCAGCACAGGTTTTCATCTACCAAAGTCACTGTTACAAGACATAAACCCCAATAAGTGTGCTAGGAACCAGACTTGACAATCTGCACATGACCCACTGAAAAAATAGATTTTTTTGTAAGTGGAGCCTTTGTTGTTCTTGGCTGTAAGACTAAGATTGCTGAACCAGTGGCTTTGTTATTCTATAACTACGCAGCATTGAACAGAAGAAGCAGCACATGTGACAGAGATGGATTCACTCAAGGAGTTTCATGTTTCTGTTCTTACATTTGCTCTGTAACACTGAGATGGCAGTGTAGTACTGCTGAGTCAGTCTCCCAGACTGACTCAGCAGTACTACACTGCCAGCTCAGTGTTACAGAGCAAATGTAAGAACACAGTGTACCACAGATAGATATGCATTAATAGCATTTCCTTCATTCCTATATATAGCACAGCATCAATGTTGACGGTGTATTAGTCAAAATGCAAAGGGAAAGACATAATGTTCATGCCAGAGATTTCCATAACTATGTGAAGCAGGAAACGTTTGGGTGTTGGAACTTAGATGTGATACGCAGGAATGAGGAACTGATTTTTCTTGTTTTCTGAGGGGCCAAACCAAGCAACGCATTTCTCTTTTTCTAGTCGAGCAAAACTGGCAAACAGTGACTCAGCAGAAAAAAGGGTGTTTGTAATGTAACCCACAGAGTGCAGCTCTACACCTGAAGCATATCTGCTTGCATTACCTGCTGTTTTTATCACTGTATGACCTCATAACTTTGGACTGAATACTCTCTGAACACCTTAAGTTTGGAAATATATGATTGTATGCCTTAGTTATGTTAAGCATTTGCACTATGTAGTGAAACATGCAAAGGCGCTGGTACAAGCCTCTAATGTTCTGTTACTACTACTTTGGCAACTTGATGAACTTACCCTAGAACAAACAAGGGGATGGCACAGAGTCCTGCAGACAACAGGAAGGCGAAGCCGGGGTACCATGCCACTGTAGCAGCATAGACGCTGTTGAAGACAGCGCTCGATACATTCCCAGTTAAACTCTCCAGGAAGGAAAGAAAGGCAAACAGGGCTCCTGTCGAAACACACCCAGGAGAGAAGAAAAACAAATATTTTAAAAAGTGATAAGCTGACTGACAACAGGAAATGCCTAAAGTCAGTTGAATTTTAAGATTGCCCTTTGCTCTAAGGAACAGAAACTAGGAGTGTTTTGTTTTCAAGTGCATCATGAAGTTGCCTGGACAGGCAACCCTTCAGTGGACTCTGATTCTGCAAACACACAGTCACAGGTCCGTGGCTCTTGCAAAGCTTTCAAAACACTCACCCTGTTCAGATTTTGGGATGATCTTTGACATCATGGAGCGCAGAACGGGGAAAGGCATTATAGCCAGTAGCATTGGCAGCCTCACTGTGGCAAACATGTAACAAAAGATTATGAAAGATTATATTTCACATCATAACACAGGGACTATAATGTAACCTCATCAACCTGTAAAATACACACATAATTAAATTCATTTTTCACACTGGTTATATAAATGCCAATTTAAATAAACAATGCAGTGATAACAGATCATAATTACACTGTTTTATCTACTTGCAATGCAATAATCTAATAAAATACAGAGGATACTGAATCCCTGGTAACGTTTCTACAGCTTGTAAAGGCTGAAGGAAAGGCAGGATCTGTTAATCAGTAACCTTTGAGACACGCTTGTGTTGTTTATTGACGTAATTTTCTGTTTTTTATCACTCTTCACTGTGCCATTTTTCCAGTAGCTTCAGTGTGTCTTTTTTAATCTAATATGTGCTGTCACCATATTTTAAGTAAAGCATGCCATGTAATATATTGGAAAACAGACTATCTAAACAGAGATATTACCCATTTCTTATATGTATGACAGTAGGCACACAGAGACATATTAGTTAGTTATTAACATGAATCCTTTGCATAATCTCACAGTACAATTTTGTAATCTATATTTTGCTTAACAGAAAAAAATAAGATGTAATTTATCACAAAATACTTCCAGAGCTTGTATTTGTGTATTTGCAATACTTAGAATACATTATTTAATGTGTCATTTTATCCTCAAATAAGACACATCACAACACAACACAACTTTTTAATTTCTTTTCATTTGTTTTTTTTTGTGTGTGTGTCTTTTGCACTCTTTCAATCGGTTGCTTGTAAAGTTGGAGATTTTACACTTGCACTTACATTTATCACTCCTGAAAAAGGGCATCTGCTAAATGTCCAGTCTTACTGTTGTCTGAAAGAACTAGTGCATCACCGTGGATTAACTGTTTAGATTCAGCAGTTGTATTTCAATTGCCAGTGCACTCAGTCAGTCAGTAGTCGCTGCGACTGACAGAAACCACCCAGAATGCACCCTGAATTCACATCCTCCGATCTCCAAGATATCCCATTAGGCCACTTTAAATGTATGATGTGGGAAATTGGGAGCGCTCATCTTTTCAGTGTAGGGAGGTTATGTCAGACCCATATTGAGGCTACTAAATGCCTAAAATGTGATATTATCAGTTTGTTTAAAATGTATATTTGTATTTTCAAATTTTTAATGTTATTATAATTAAATACAGGTTCCATACCTGTGTTTTGTATTTTATTTTTGATTCATTTGATGAGCAAGGTTGTTTTTTTTCTTAAGACATTTTTTGGAGCATTTTGCCTTTAATTGATAGGACAGTCATGTGTGAAGGGGGGAGAGAGAGGGGGAGTGAGATGCAGCAAAGGGCCACAGGCTGGAGTCGAACCCAGGCTGGTGCGGCAATGGTCTTGTATATGGGGCGCCTGCTCTATCCCCTAAGCCATCAAGGCCCCGATGAGCAAGTATTTGTAATTTTTCACAAGATACTTTTAGATGTATTTGTGCCCATCTCTGAGTCGAGGGTGAATCCAATTAATTTTATTCCACTGTCTTCATCAAACTATTCAACATCACTGAATTTCTCTGAAAACAGTGCAAGTAAATACAAAACCAGGTCCAGGTTTGTAAACCTTGTTAACAACTGACAGACAAGGCCTTGGTGATTTCTCCCCTAAACAGGAGAATCAAACTATTGTACATTAGTGGTTTTAGCAGAACAGTGTTGTGGAAGGTTTACTCACCTAAAAACATCAGTAGCGTGGTCTTCACAAATGGCAGCAGGACCATGCCTGATACAACGGAGAGGATCCCCAGCAGGATAATGAGCAGCTGTGGCACACCGCAGCATGTGAATACTGACACTCCCACGAAGCTGACAAAGAACACAGCGGTGGACAGTGCTGAGCCGTAGCCAATCAAAATCTCAGTCCAGCACAGTGGCTCATCCAGCTCATATAGCACCAACAAGGAGAATCCACCCCAGGCGAAAGAGAAGCTGGTGAAGATGAGCATCAGGAGGACCAGGACAGTTTTACACCTTTGGCTAGTCCCTGCAAACATCTGGTAGACTCCATAGAGCATCTGTTTCATGGCTGAGCTCTGAGGAGACCCATCTAGAATAATGGCATCAGTAGGAGCTTGCTTCACAGTCTCTTCTAGGATGAAAATTGCATAGAGCAGGATCACACACTGACAAAGTGCAGCGGTTAGGAAAGGCCAGTTAAAGCCTGCAGCTCTCAAAAAGTAGCCTGTTGATATTGAAGCCACCCCAGACAACAGGCCAATCATCATGTCCACTCCAGCAATGCGCAGCGTCTTCTGCCGATCATCCTCACACAAGTCTGCTATGTAGGCGAAAACGCCGCCCAGGAACGTCCCCAAGCCGCCAAACAGAGAATTGAGAAGCGAGGAGCCGACGAGCAGGTATATGTTGAGCTCGAAGTAGGACACTGTCAGGAAGGACAATGCGTAGATTAACGAGCCAATCAGCGGCATGATGATTGTAATCTTGCGTCCTCCCCGGTCACTATAAGCCACAAGCATTAGGGTGACGATCAAAGAGGGGATTGTGGATAGGAGGTCTGAGTAAAGGGAGAAGAGAGATGCATGTCTCTGTACCTCCTGGAAAACAGAAAGAGAGAGGATGGTTAGGTCAAAAATAAACTTCATGTTAAGCCTTTCTGCATTCAACTGTAAAAGCAAGCCACAGAGAGTGTAATAAATACTCTTAAGTTGGGAACTATCATACAAATGATACAAGTTAAAATCAAAATCAGGAAAGGATTTATTGCCAAGTATGTTTTCTCTTCCAAGGAATTTTCTGGTGCCACCATAAAACAGACATTAAACATATTAAGAGGAATATAAATGAGGCAAAGTACTGCAACACTTGAACTTAAATTAAAAAAATACAATAAAGACATGACTAAGATACAGAGGGTGCAAAAAAATCAAGCACGCAATGTGCAGAAGTTCCCAGTGGTGCAAATATGGGAGGTGATGTTGAGGTCCTGGGAGTCCAGACTACACAGCGTTGACAGGGTGACAGGGCCAGAAATCCACAATCATCTCCACTGACTTATGAGGGGGGAGCTCCAAGTTCTTTTCTCTGCACCAGGTCACTAGATGATGAATCTCACACCTGTAAGCGCACTCATCCCCGCCAGAGATGAGCCAAGTGAGGGTGGTGTCATCTGCTAACTTCAGGAGCTTGACAAACTGGACAACAGGAAGAAGAGCAGAGGCGAAATGATGCAGCCTTGAGGGGAACTGGTACTGATAGTTCGGGAGTCAGAGACTTGTTTCCTTAGCTTCATGTGCTGCTTCCTGTCAGACAGGAAGTCTGTGATCCATCTGCAGATGGAGTCAGGCACGTGCAGCTGGGAGAGCTTGTCCTGCAGCAGAGCCAGGATGATGGTACTGAAGGCAGAGCTGAAATCCACAAACAGGATCCTGGTGTAGGTTCCTGGGAAGTCCAGGTGCTGGGGGATGAACTGGAGGGCCATGTTGACTGTGTCGTCCACAGACCTGTTGGCCCTGTAGGCGAACTGCAGGGGGTCCAGGAGTGGGTCATTGATGTTTTTGGGGTGGAAGAGAACAAGGCTCTCAAAAGGACATTATGAGCACAGAGGCCAGGGCAACAGGTTTGAAGTCGTTATTTCCTGTGAATCTTGTTTTTTGAGGACAGGGAAGATGGTGGAGGTTCTGAAGCAGGCTAGAACGTGCCGTGTCTCCAGTAAGGTGTTAAAGATGTCTGTGAACACTGGAGACAGCTGATCGGCACAGTGTTTCCGGCCCAGCTGCTCTGCAGGGGTTCTGCCTCCTGAAGAGTCTGTTGACATTGCTTGCCAGAACAGAGAGAGCAGTTATTGTGGAGTGGGGCAGTGGAGCTCTAGGATGGGCCCCAGGGGTCTAGAGTCATGGGGGATGGTGTCAGGACTGTGCTATTGTCTTTCAAATTGACAGTAGAACTCATTCAGCTGGTTTGCCAGGTGCAGGTTGCAAATGGAGTGGGGGGCTTGAAGTTTGGTGACCTGTGTTTAGGAGAGTCATTTGGCTGAGAACTGTTGTTGGAGTTTCTCAAAGTACAGTCCTTACGCCTCTCTCACCGCCCTGTTAAACTTGCACTTAGCCTCTTTAAACCTTTCCTTGTTCCCACTCCTGAATGCATCTTCCTTTTGCAACCTCAGCTGTCTGAGTTTAGCTGTGAACCAGGGTTTGTCATTGTTATAACTCCTCATTTGTATGGGAACACAGCCATCCTCACATAAGCTGATCTAGGACGTCACAGCCTCTGTGTACAACATTCCAGTCTGTACAGTCCAAATACACAGGTTTGCAGAGTTTTAATTTCCGCCTGTACGCAGGAATCAGGTGGACCATGATGTGAGCACCACTGATCATTGTGTAACAACAATCGAAAACATTCTCCTCACTGGTTGGGCATTTAATAAACTGTCTGTATTTTGGGAGTTCATGGGTGAGATTACCTTTGTCAAAGTTACCAAGGACAATAACAAAGAGTCTGGGTATATTCGCTCCACACTCAGAGGTACAGAGATAGTGACAATTCAATTTCATAAAACCAACACAGAATGAAAGCACTTCAGCATCATGTGAGGCATTTTCCACTTATGGCCAAAAGGAACAAAGCTTTTTACTGTGCAACAGGTGCTGTAAAGGGTATTTCAAAACACTAACAGGTTCTTCCAGATCAGTCTGTTTGTTCTCACTTCTCCACTGTATGTCAGTCTCCTTCTATAATTACACCGTTGCTGATACTTTCGTGGGAGAATATTTCCTGTAAATCCTTCCTACAATGTTGTATACCTTGATCTACTTAAGACTTAATTGCTGTAAATTCATAGGTGGCAATGTGCTTTGAAATAATAAGTGATTAAGGTCCCTGTAAATGTAAATGTAAGATTATCACTCTTTAGAAAATGTGTTGGTGCTGCAGCACGTCAGTCAGTGTCTGTCCAAGTAAACTTTAGTCACAGGTCTACCTTATGGCGCAGTAGCTGAATCAGTTCTTTTTTTCTGAGCAGTCTAAGAGGGCATCTGAGAGGGTTATAGGAAAATTTATGCTGTGTCATGACAGTAAAGGTTGAACATAGACACAGTTTCTCTGGCCAATGCCTAAAGTGCTATTGTTTCTTGAGCTCCAGGTCACTTAAGGAAGCCTGACTTGTTTTCCGGTAGTGAGACATTTCTTTTTGTCCACACAAAGAAACCCTCACACAACATTGATTGAGTCAGTGTCACATGCATTACAATGTGAAAGGCAGAACACACAAGGGAAAGCAGCAGCATTTTTTCCCCCGAGATTAGTATTGACAGTACTGATATCATTACACACTATCAGTAAACTGAAAGTGTTTCACAGGTGGACAGTGGAGAGGTTAATCCAGTGCATTCATTCTTAGTGTGCTTTAAGAGGAAGGGAAAAAGGGACAACTTGCTCCAGACTTTGGCAGTTGTGAATCCTCCTTTGGCCACGAGTTAATTAAATGCATGCGTTCTTTCATCCAGTGAGAAGTGACTAACCTCAAAGTAGCTGGACTGGTTGCTGGCGTTTCCTACACATCTGGAGGAGTTGTCAGAGATGGGGTAGGTGGTGTTTGTCAGCTCCTGCCAGAGCCTCCTGTACACATACTGCTGCACAAGAGGGTAGATGAGAAAACTGGAGAAAGCATACAGTGCAACCACGGGCTCCACGAGGTAAAGACCCTTCATTTTGAGCGGCTGCAATTTTCCCTGAAAAAGATATGAAGAGAGAATACATAAGAATATAGCCACAGGCGGCAATTCTGGGGTTCAAGCAAGCATGGATCGTTAGAAGTTGAAAGCTATGACAGATCAAGATCTTTGACAGTTTACGACACTTGCACTTAAAGATACAGGTTTTATAATGATCGGACAAAGGTTTATTCATTTAGCGCTAAATCTGTGCCCAAGCTTCTGCAGCAATGCAGGGACCCCTTATTGGTCATTTGCAGAAACATTTTGGGAACATGTTTTACCAGATAAACAAATAAACATGTTTGGAAATGATCAATTTCCAAATCATTTCACACACGTATTTCAACATTATTATTTAACATACCCTGCCAGTTTTGGAATGATTAGACAAACAATTTTTGATTTATAGTATGATTTTCACATATGAAGCGCCTCCTAGTGATCCCTTTGAATGCATCTTTCAGGATATGTTTAAGGTACTGATGACACATAAACTACAAGTCTCGTGACTACTGGCCCATCAGCTTTGGAGTTATGTGTAATTATGTGCTGAGACATGCCCATTTTAAAGTTCATACATCACCATCCCCAAAACCCAAAGAGATATCAGAAAGCTTTTGATAACTTTTGACCTGCTTGTCCAATAATCATACACCTTAATGGTTGTTGAGGCTTTTCGTAGATCAAATTTAGCTGGACTTGTGTGTCAAATTTCAATTCAATCCGACTTATGGTGTGAGGGGCATGGCCTTTCCAAAACTGAATTTTTGGCCCCTAATTATAGCGCCCCATCACACCGACTGGCATCATATTAAGCAGCATTTGCACACAAATTCCAATCATTGCTGAAAATTCCACGTGTCTACGATGTAACATTTCTGAAGAATGATACAGGTAAAGTCACACAATAACAACAGGATTTCAGCCCTCGGGCTTGACCCCCTAATTATCATGAACACAGATAACAGGGTAAAATAACAGGTTAACAATGCATGCCCGAGCAGACATGAGTTTGGATCTTTAAAACACGTGACGGCAATGTCATTTATAAAATACTGCCATTTAAACTACAGTTAAAAATGTCCTTAGAACTTTTGAATAGCTTAGAAGATTATCATTATTTGGTTGACTGCACGTTGCAACCTTCAACCTCAAAGTTCAGATAGCTAATATTTTGCTTATGCATTTTGATGATCGTCGATGAGAGAGTTGACACGACATTATAGATCCAATATTAGCTGCGAGTTTAAAACATAAAGTGGAATATACGATAATAACCATGTAATATAGGCTACCGCTTGTTTGTTTGTCCCAGTGAATACTGAAGGATGAGCTGTGCTATGTCGTTGTTTAGATAGCAAACAAAGGAAGACAGCTTAGCCGTTAGCCTATTTTCTCATAAGACATTGACAAGTACATGCTGCACAAACGTACCTTTTAGACAGACGCCTGGATCATGTCATAACCAACCAATTAACCCCTGCAAAGCATTCTGTTTACGAAGTCGGCCTGTGCTCCTCTTTTATACAAAAATGTACGGTGTTATTGAAAAAGCGCTGAAGTCCCGCCCCTTACCGTATACGATTGGCCAGCAGTCTTTCAAGGCTGCGTTCATTCGATGGATGGAACTGTCACTCAACTGTAAAACCAGGCGAGAACATTCTGTTACTTCCTGTAACAAGCTCTTCATTTCACATAAACATTTATTTTAAATGCCTCGACGTAACGTTAATTTGATACATTTAGAAAAATGTTTCAATTCAAGTACTCTAAATGCTCACGTCGTCAGTACATAAAAGCGCACGGTACCTTTTCACGAGGTATTACGGTAACGTGAGGTAGGCGTGCTTTGCGTTGGAATGTACCATTCTGCCGACACACCGGGAAGGATTTTGTTGTGACAGCGGAGTAACAACCCGGCGGGGGTAGACGGTAAGGCGAAATCCACAGCCCTTCCTCTTTCTAATTTAAATCAAACCTACAACTATAAGATAGAGCTAAAATTCAAATATATGCACAGGTGTTACGTTTTATAAAAGCCGAGTCGCCCGGATTTATGTAATAGTACATGTCAGTTTATCATCCCGGACGCACAGGTAGTACCACCATCAAAATATCGCCAGCTAGCGAATCATAGCTACCGCTGTGATTAATTTAGCCAACTTAGCTAGCTTTACCAGCTAGCAGTAGACAGGTGAAGGACAGCGAGCTGTTTTCGCTGTATCAGTTTACATCACTCGATATTTCAGTTGCTTTTCCACCTCATAAAATCCGACGTTAAAGCTAACTGGCGGGTAAGCGTTAGCGTTAGCTTCCCCTGCTGCAGTTACATTGGAAAGTCGTGACTGTCCGTGTGAGGATGGATGATATTTCAGTCTCCCGGCCTAACATTATCGTTCACAGTGCTACCAGTCAGCCAGTGCTGCTCATAATCTCCAGCTACCTGCTATACCCAGTATAAAAGATTAGTTTGTGATATATTTGGGCCTTTAGCTAACATTATATCCGCAATTGGTACTGTGACAGGCTTCTTATTTCGCAATGAAAGTTTATGCATCACGCAGTTTGTAATGTCATTGCCTAATAATCAGATATATTTCCATAATGTGTCGGGGATTCATCAATAAATAAAAAAATAAACCACATAAAATGTGTTACCCACAGTCAGAGTGGTGTACACGTATATTTGTTTAGTTTAGAAACATCTTAATACTCAGCTCAGACTCCGAACATTAGCTACACAAAATCTGTAACAACAGTAACTCAGTTTTAACCAGACTTCCTAAACAGCATGCAATGTACGATCATAACATAGGTCAAATCTCCACCAACAATCAATAGACCATCAGATGCTCCAGTAGCTCTCTAATTACAGATGTTGTGTGTGACTGGGAGTGTCTCTTATTTGGCCTGCTCTGATTCACTCTTTTTGGCTTCCAGGTAATAACGTAGGTTTTTCACCTTGCATCAACAATGGCCTTCAGCAAGGGATATCGCATTTACCACAAGCTGGATCCACCCCCCTACAGTGTCATAGTGGAAACCAGGACCAGGGAAGAATGCCTCATGTTTGAATCAGGGGCTGTTGCTGTTCTGTGTAAGACATCTTGTTTGATTGATTTAAATTCCCTAAATTCTTAACCCCAAATAAGGATGCTACAAGGAGAATACAACTGTAAGAGACATCTTTGACCAACAAGTGATGGATGTGATTTTGTACTATATTTAAGTCACAAGCTACAATTACTTAAGGTTTAAAGGAGAATATTACCAGTATTTTCCTTACATTGTGTTGCTTTTGTTTGTCTTCTAGCGGCAGCAGAGAAGGAGGCCATTAAAAACACATATGCCAAGATTGTTGATGCCTATGGCATCCTGGGTGTCCTCCGCCTAAACTTGGGTAAGCTACAGACACACCTTCTCTGTGCATTGCTCCTTGTTGCAGAAATTTCCTGGATTCAGTCCAGATCCTGACCCCAGGTTCCTGTGTGACTGTGAGGGACCTCAGTTTGTAGTCCTGTCGCTGCTTACTTATAAGCTGCTTTCTCCTGCCCTCTACATGACCTTGAGGGCTCTTGTTATCACAACAAGGGAAAAAGCTGCGTAAAAGATTAAAGCTCAGTCTTATAGATGGCTGAGATTTGTCTGCCTGGTGATTTCCTCTAAAGGAATGGCACCAACATTTAATTAACCATTTCTTGTCCAGTCTCTTAATGCTGATTTCTTAATGCATCAACATACAGCTTGCTTCTTTACAATTCACCATAGATAATGTTTCATACGCATGACCATTTGTTTTAACCATAATACCTTTTGCTTTTTCAGGTGATTCCATGCTCCACAGTCTGGTGGTCGTGACAGGATGCAGCTCTGTGGGGAAGGTGCAGGATTCTGAGGTTTTCAGGGTCACACAGACAGACTTTATATCGCTGAAGAATGATCCAGCAGATGAGGACCGCATAGCTGAGGTGCGAAAGGTCCTGAACTCAGGACACTTTTACTTTGCCTGGTCTGCCACTGGAGTCAGCATGGACCTGAGTCTCAATGCACATCGCAGGACCCTGGAAGACACTACAGATAACCGCTTCTTCTGGTAAGCACATGAAATGATTACTGTTCCAAGGTTACAGTAGGTGAGACTAGTAGGCAGGTGTTTGGCTTTAACTCTCTGAAGTAGTAGATATGTACAACGATAAGTGTGTGTTCTGCTATCTGCAAAGTCTTTCTGGTGAAAGAGTTCCTTCTGAATGTGTGATATGGGGGCAGTGTGATTTGCAACTAAGGTGTGAAAATTTACTGTTCACACTGAATTTGTTTGTGTGTTTGCTGTTGTGTCTGTCTCACTTAATCAATAGGAACCAATCTCTGCACCTGCACCTGAAACACTATGGAGTTAACTGTGATGACTGGCTGTTGAGGCTGATGTGTGGTGGTGTGGAGATCAGGACCATTTATGCAGGGCACAAACAGGCCAAGGCCTGCATCTTCTCACGCCTCAGCTCAGAGCGAGCAGGCACACGATTCAACGTCAGAGGAACAAATGATGACGGACAGGTGGCCAACTTTGTGGAGACTGAACAGGTGAATCAGATGTTTGACAGTCTTAATGAATTTCTCTTCTTGTTTGAGAAGTGGTATGTTAAAAGCTGCCTAACAGAAATCAGTTTGATAGCGTAGTTGCATCATTTTCCATATGCTCTGTGCTTGGTCACATGACTTTGGTTAATACAGTCTGTTTAAACACTGGTTATCTATTGACTGTTGAAGAGCAAACCTAATGCTGCCTGACAATGAAACACTATTGCTCCAGCATTTTGTGCTGTCACTGCATTTTGTTCAACAAAAATTATTATAGATGCACAGATAAAATTAAAACGTAACAGGAAAATCAGCAGAAAGATGATGATTATGATAATATATCAGCATACTGATGTATTGGTCAAGCTCCTGCCTGAAGCCTTTTACTCTGCAGTAGTTTAACTTCCTCAATTGAGTAAACTTCAGTCCAGTAAGTATTTTGCCTTTATTGCTGAGTCAGCACATTGTCAGTAGACGTGAATATTTGAATATGTACTTCTCAGCTCGTCATTGTGGGGAAACAACTCGATTTGCATTTTCACTTTTTGTGGTTCCTGTTTCAGGAAACAAACACAAAGATATATATTGGACTGAATAACAGAAACCACCACGATTGTAATGCAACGTAATGCAGAACAACTACACCAATATTTGCTGCCTCAAAAATTACTGTAGAGATAATTCAACATCTCTCTGTCAAAGTCTGAATAAAAATTGAACATGAGAAGCTTCAGATGTGCAGTGGTAATTGCAGGGATCTGCAAGATTACATTGTCAGTACTGCTTATTTTGGGCAGCCGCTGTAGTGTTGACAGCTATGGGTCATGTTGCTTAATGACTTGGGTTTCAAAGATTTGTCATCAATATAGCCATAAAAATGTTGCGCCTCTACATACTACATGGTTTCACCTTTATGTTTCCTTTGTGTCCTGACAAAGCAGCCACAGACACACATGCTGGTATTGTCTATACCAATGCAGTGACGTCATTTGTCTGCATTGTACAGTCATAGAACAATTAAAGTGTTGTCGCTCCCTGTGGTCTTAAAAGTTTGTGAAGGCTGTATTACTTTCCATGTTTTCTTTTCATCCTCCCATAGGTTTTATCAATGTGTTTTTAATTTTTATGATCTGTTTTTTTTTCATATTGCAAATAAACTTAACCAAACTTTCCTCTTGCTCTGAACAGGTTATTTTCCTGGATGACAAGGTCTCATCCTTCATACAGATCCGTGGGTCCATTCCTCTTTTCTGGGAACAGCCAGGAATCCAGGTAATTGGAGTTAAACCTATCCTATAAAGCCAGCCTAGAATCGTGATTGTGAGGTTTTCATATGTCAAACCAGATTATATGAAAAATATATAGCAGCCCTCATGTTTGTGTAAAAGCCACGTCCATTTTGTAAATGCTTTAGTTTTAGATAAAGCTCAGATAAGCTCTGTTGAGTGCAAAGTGCTAAGTGTAAACACTGAACTCTGATGAAGCCTTTGTGGTGCTCTTGCAAAATAAGAAAAATCACTTTCATTGAAATACATTGTTTTCAGCATTCGTTGGGAATGATACATCTCCTTGTAATTACACTGGATATCTTTATCTCGGTTTTAACACATTTTGTCCATGCTGTGTTCAGAAAAAGTCCATTAAGGGTGTTTTGTTGCACCTAAATGAGAATCGGCACCCTAATGGGATGGATGAGAACCCCCACCTGGTATACTTTTTTTTTTTTTTTTTGGCTCTTGCTGGTGTTGGCGCTTTCATACTGCAGATAGGTATTACTCTGTGCATTGCCAAAGGGTAAGGGTGAAAACCAAGGCAATCCCATTGTGGAATTTTATCCAGGTCCCATACATGGTTCCTGTCCAAGAACTGCAGTTTTGAAGATTTGAAGCAGGAACTAGAATCACCCATTAAACACACAACATAAATAACATCACTG